TATATATCTCTACAAATTTTACGAATAAATTTAATTACTATAAAATTAAATAATAAAAATTGATCTCCAATTTCTTCTCTACATAACTCATAATTGAATAAATTCCATTAAATCTTTGTGTTACTAAATTGATGTGTCTACAATATAATAAAAATAATATATACTGAAAAAATTAGCAACATTCCTATACAAAATAAACACATAAATTATGACATAAATATGACTTTTATCAATAATGAATAATCCTGTTAATTATGTTTATATAATATTATACATAATTTTGTTAATTTGATACAATTTTATCAATATATATAATACATAAAATTGAATAAATAATAATTTATTTCTTACTTTATGATTGATAACTCATCGTATTTCTTTATTTTTTGTCAAAATTGCAAGAATAAATGTCTGTAGCGACCTCTAGTATACTATGAGATGTGTGCATTATCATTTTTAATATTTGAAATACCTCCGAAAAGCATTAATATTATATCGTCAATGTTTCCTCAGAATTTCCTACGATGTTATTTGATCATCAATTTTTTTAACGATAACAAATAACGCAAACAAATACGTTGCAGATTCATAACTACAATCACGCATTACAACAAAATTCTATCAGCCCGTATGAACTTGTGTTATATTACAATCTGATAGCTGCCAGATTTCACAGCCAATTTTCGGCTTTCTCAGGTTATTGATCTTTTTCACGATAATAAACAACAACGAATGCATTGTAGACCCATAACTTACCTAGGACATACAGACCGGCATAAGTAATGAATAAGTCCGTTCTAATCATTCTTACCTTTCTCCTTCCTTCCACAAAGGAAGAATGATAAGTCATCATCTTTACTCTGACCTCTTATCTTAATTACTTTTTTCTCCATATAAACTTTTTTTCATTTTACCATGTTTCCTAGTCTTAGTTCTGTTTTTTGTCTGTATAATTTATTTTATTAAAGAATATATTTCTTGTTATTAATAGTTTATAATTGAGATATAAATAACACATATGAAACGGAAAAATAATGGATTAAGGCGGAACATCGATATAGTTTTTGGTTACAAAGCTCCATAATAAAAATAAAATAGATAAAAATAAATTAGATAAAAATAAAATAAAATATATAAATTCCCATTAGCACTCTGTCCTGACTTTAGATGAATTCCAACGCAATTTCTTTGTCTCTGTCTCAACGCCATCTGATACATGTTGTATTAACATGTATTAACACAAACATCTGCGATATAAAAACAAATATTTCAATATTTTACATATTTGCAGCAGTATAAGCTAAATTATCGAATCTGTCATTTGGACAGTCTTATAAAGATAACACTTCTTTCAATTTAAGATGCAGATGAAAGTAACATATATTTTTATATCATAATTGGAGATAACTTGATACTAAAACTGTGGATGATCATTAATATGTTAGATGTTTCGGTTAATTTTGAAGATTGATAAGATGAATGTGTTGTTTATTATTTATTATTTATTATTTAAATTATTTTAATCAAAATATTTTCCATTGTTTGCTACAACCTTTTTCTATCTTTCTTGCAATAAATGGATTCCACGGTAGGAAAAAGACCTTACCTTTAAAAGCCATTCATTCATCGTCAGTCTTCAAGATTAACCGAAACACAACTAATAGTTTTATCGAGACATCAGCAAACACTGGCAGTTAGTTACAAAGCCTCACGGTAACGTCTGACCATAGCATTCTCCCGATGTAACGGAAGAGAGAGAGAGGAGGTCGCGGGAATTGCCAATCATGCACTTGCTCGTGCGAGAGAATTTCGCAAATCGGCTCAAGGGGTAAGAGAAGATGCAACGCACGACATGCGCGCGCGAGCTGCGACACACTTCCAACAGGTTTTCTAACGCGTGACTGGGATCGAATGGCGGTCGCGACGGTGAGGTTCGAGGGGTCGGGTAGGGAAAATCGATATCGTTATGTACTTAGGTAATGTCACTCTTCAAAGAGCTCCTATTCTGCTGACCGACCGCTAATTACTTTCCGATCAGTGGAACGGCACGTCAAAGTTGCTTTGTCAAGGGCCGCGTTTCATGGCTGCGTGAAACCTCGAGTTCCGTGTACATTTCATTAAGTATCCGGGGAACAAGGTACACCGGCGAGAGGATGGCTTTCGTTTACGGCGCGCCGTACATGATACGCCGTAAAGGTCAGATAGACCGAGGAGGAGGAGCTCGCCTCTCTCACTCTGATGGAGTCATCGTTGATCTCGTCAGCGCCACCAAGTGGCGATCGAACGTGAACGAATTCGTAGCGGGCGTAACATGTCTCGCTGCTTTCGCCGAATTAAAGCTTGGACAACGATCGTTTGGGCAAAGTGATCGCTGGTGACACTTTAACCTCCTCAAGGATGAGTTTGTTAAAATCAGAAGAGATTGATTTCACTTTTCAAATTAACAAATGTAATCTGTTAATAAAATGTCTATAAGATGAGATTTCTTTTTCTCTTGCTGTGGAATTTGCTGTAGAATTTGCTGTGATAAATATTTGTTCGCAATAATGCTCGCATTGTAATTTTGTTGACAATGCTTGAATTAAACAAAGAAAATTGGATGCGTCTAATGCACATGTGTATGCATATGTGTTAATGTTTCTAAAAAGTTTAACTTTTATTGTTACTCTACACTGAAACATATTTAATATATTTAATACATCAGAAATATTCATTCGATGAATGTTAAGTAACATTACTTATATAATTACTTATTACATTTAAATTCTTTTATTTGACTCGAATAAACAACTGCTTTCATGAAAAATTACGATTTTAAGGAAATATACATTTTCTCATTAAAAAAAATATTCTCTGGATGTAAATATATACAGGGTGACACCGAAAAAAGTAGCCAAACTTCGGTACCGTATTTTTTACTCTTCCTAAGAATGAAAAAAAGTCATATAAATATAAATAGGTCTGGAAACTCTTCTGTTCCAAGATATAAACACTTTTTTATTTATGATTGTATATCATAGAAATGTTTAAAGCTTACTTAAAAAAATTACTGGAAATGATTTCCTTCTGCAATAATATACGCTTCACATGAACGTTGCAAAAACTGTCGAAGACGTTCAAGAATTTTTGATATTCCGAATTTTGTCATATGCGGTAATAAGTCGGTTTTTACGTGTTTTCAGACTATCAATAGTATTATTATCATAGACTAAACTTTTAAGATGCCTCCACAAATAAAAACCTAAAGAAGTTAAATCAGGGAAGCGTGCAGGCCAGGCAATTGATCCTCCTCTGCCAATCCACCGATTGATGTAATTGTTATTAAGTTATTCTCTAATAGTTCGACCAAAATAGGCTGGAGCTCCATCATGCATAAATCATATTCGAGTACATGTTGCCAATGTTACATGTTGTAATAGTGTAGAAAGTTCAGTTTCCAAAAATTGTGTATAATTTCTATCGTTGAGCGTAAATGGGAGAAAAACTGGTTGAATAAGCAAGTTTCTAATAATTCCAGTCCACTCGTTGGATGAAAACTGGTGTTGGTATTGAGATTGATCAACAGCATGCGTATTAACTAAGCTTCAAATATTTCTAGAATACTCAATCATAAACAAAAGAGTGTTTATATCGGAAAGAAAGAATTTCCGGACCTATATTTACATGATCTTTTTCATCCTTAGGAAGAGTAGAATACGATATCGAAGTTTGGCCACCTTTTTCGGTATCACTCTATATAAATATATATACAGGGTGGCCCACTAATTATGGACTCGTAAAGTATTACAAGTCCATAATTTTAAAAATATTTATCAAATCAAAATTTGTTCATAAGGAAGTTTCATGTATTTGAGAGGCTTCTCTAACTATATAAACGTAAAGTGGCCCCCGCTATCCCTTTAAGGGGGGACGGGGGTAACTTCATAATTTTAAATGGAACCCCCTATAAAATATTACATATTTGAATTCTACGGGAAAGAACAAGTAAATTTTATTCTGAAACATTTGTTTGGGAAATATTTCTATCAAAAGTTATAAGCATTTAAACCTTTAGCGATTTCATTCATGATTGAACTCCATTGACACAAAGTTGCATTCGCGATACAACAAAAACAAAAAAGACCTTAGAGAAATACTTGATGTTAACCAAAAGATACATAAATAAACACATTTATCGGGTCTGTGATCTGTATTTACGTTTCCCGATAAATGTGTTTATTTATGTTTCTTTTGCTTAACATCAAGTATGTACTCTAAGGTTTTTTTTGTTTTTTTTGTATCGCGAACGCAACTTTCTGTCAATGGAGTTCAATCATAAATGATAATAATTGGAAAGGCCTCTCGAATACATGAAACTTCCTTATGAACAATTTTTTTATTTGATAAATATTTTTAAAGTTATGGACTTGTAACACTTTACGTGGACCACCCTGTATGTATATATATATATATATATATATATGATGTTAATACCCATCAAGTAAATATTTTTATATTTTAAATATTTGTTCTCCCAATATAAAGTTTTTCCAAGCGAATACGATACGACAATAGTTTTCTACGGCGAAACGCACCGCGTCGATTCATACAAAAAAGGGAATAATACAGAAATTTTGATTTATCACGGAACTTTTGAAAGATCATAATAATCGATAAATTGAAATAGAAATAGAAAGTCAAATAAAAAATCAAACTAAGGTATTGCAGTGAGCTAATTGAAAAGTGAATACTTTACAGGACATGTATTTCATATCGTACACTAGAAAGTACCAGGATAAAATGCGAAATATCTCGGGAAATATTCGCATTTTGATAACCTTATCCCAATATTTTTACATACGGAATGATCTTCTTCAATAATTCTCGAGTGATATGTAGCTCGGAAGTTACTGCGAATTTCTGAAAAATTCACTTCATAAGGCAACTGCTTTAAAATATCGAGAGCTCGCACGTTGATGGGCATACTTCTAACGAGAATTCACCCGGATTATCTGTTTCAGTATACCGACTGGAATCGGATAAACGATGGCTACCAGAATCAAAGAGCGATAGCGGACATCGTGGGCGATTACTTCTTCATCTGCCCGTCCACGTACTTCGCGGACTTATTCGCGGCTCGCGGCATGAAGGTCTACTATTACTTCTTTACGCAGGTGAGCAATCTTCGTGGTTTACATTTCCGGCATGTCTATAAGATAGACGTCAGTCCTAGTCAAGGATAGCCTCGCGTGTTAAGGGACAATGGCGCAGTCGACATACTGTCATTATGTTACGTCACTTTATTGTCCGCCGTGACATTTGAGATAATCCAGCGATAATTTATGAAGCGAACAAATAAAGTATTTAGCGCTCTAATTTCCTTGCGTGACGTCCGCGTCGTGCATATGCCTGAAAAGAAAAAAATGAAAAGAAAAACAGGAGATCGTCGATACGCGCTTCGTTCCGCACTCTCGTCGAGTCTGTTGAAGATAGTCCGTAGCCGTGACAATACTATTGAATTAATACTACACGAAGAAGCTCGACAAATCTGTAGTATTAGGAGTTTGAATTAATTCTGTTTTTATTTTATCAATTGTTTTATCTTTGTTTTAAAGAAATTTACATTAATCAAAATATTTTCCGTCGTTAACTATGACTGTTTCCCAGCTTTCTGGCAATATAAGGACTCCGCAACGATGGAACAATCTGTCTTTCGAAGCAATCCAATCAGACACCCATTTTTGCACATCCTCGTAATTATTGAAGTGTGTATCTGCCAAAGCATGTTGTGTCGATCGGGATAGATGATAATCAGATGGTACCAGGTCTGAAGAGTACGCTGGCTGCGGAAGGATTTCCCATTCAAGTTTTAACAATGTTTGTTTAACGATGAAGCGACATATGGACAAGCATTATCGTACAAAAGAATTACTTTGCGTCTATTGCTGGCCATCGCTGGCCTTTTTTGCATTAATTCATCATTCAATTTGTTCAATTGTTGCTGGTATCGCTCCCCCGTAACTGTTTCATTCGGTTTTAGAAGTTCATAGTACACCATACCTTCAATATCCCACCAAATACAGAGCATTACATTGCGACCGTGAATGTTCCGTTTTGATGTCGATATTGATAGTCGTCTTGGATCAATCCATCATATTTTCACTTTGGATTATCAAAATAAATCCACTTTTCATCTCCAGTTACAATTCGCCACAAAAAACTCTTTTTTTCTGTTTGACAAACAAAGACATGGCGATATTCAAACGATTTGCAATGGCACTTTCACTTAATTCATGTAGAACCCATTGTCTTCCTTTTGAATTTTTCCCATAGCGTGCAGTTTGCGTGCGTTTAAAAATTGTTGATTAATTTATGTTGAGTTGTTCAGCCAATTATACTTCCATTTGAACGGTGTTTTCATTCAATAATGCTTGCAATTTAGAATCTTTGAATCTTTTTGGTTGGTCAGTACATTCACTAAAATCAAAATCACCACTTTTGAATTGTTGAAACCAAGATTTGCGGTTGGAGTGCGATGGAGCTTGAGCTATAAGTTGTAATAAGCATTTCATGAGCTTCAGTTGACTTCAGCCAATTTTTTTCAAATTAAACAAAAAAGTAATTAATGTCAAAGTTGCAATTTTGTACGATCCATTTTAGACGTGTATAAACAATGAAATTATCAGTAACAATAGCGCGCAAACTGTCATATGTCACAGAGAAATGAGAAACCTTTCAGTGTTGCCAGTTTTCAACACTCGTACTAACCAACTTGTTACTAAAGCTATCTATTGCTAGAGACAAGAACTAATTCAACATCCTAATAGATGATTATAAATATAATTTATTTCAATCATAGAAAAGATTATATACAACTACCAGGTATGTAAATATGAGACCGGAATTTTTGTATAGAAAATACACGTTTATTGTATGAAAATGATAAAAAATATTTTATTTGAAGTATTGCCCATCGCTAGCTATACATTTTTCCCACCTGTCTGACAATTTGTGGATGCCACGCCAAAAAAACTGTTGCTCTTTTGAGGCAAACCAGTCATCGAGCCATTTTCGTACATTTTCGTAAGAAGTGAAGCGCTGCTCAGCAAGTGCGTGTCCCATCGATGCAAATAAGTAGTAATCGGACGGAGCCAAGTCTAGTGAGTAAGCCGCATGCGAAAGTATTTCCCAACTAAACGCCTCAATCGTTTCCTTGACCAGTTTTGCTGTGTGTGATGGTGCATTATCATGAAGCAAAATCACTTTGTGTTGTCTTTTTTGATATTCTGGTCGTTTTTCATGCAAAGCTTGATTCAAATCGATCATTTGTTGTCGGTAGCGTTCAGTATGAACGGTTTCGCCAAGTTTTAGTAGCTCATAATAGATCACACCTTCTGATCCTACCAAACACAGAGCATTATTTTCCGTCCATAGCGATTTGGTCTTGCAGTCGATGTCGATGGTTCGCCTGGAGTTACATGAGTTGCATGATCTTTTACACTTAGGATTCTCAAAATATATCCACTTTTCATCGCCAGTCACAATTCGATGGAGAAATGACTTTCTTTTGTACCTGGCGCGCAGCATTTCGCAAGTGGTTTTTCGGTTTTCCTGCTGTCTTTCATTCTGTTCATGTGGAACCCATTTTCTCATCTTCTAGATCCTTCCCATGGCTTTCAAACGTATGGAGACGACTTCTCGTGTCACATTTAATTGATCCGCGAGTTGTTGTTGCGTTTGAGCGTCATCCTCATCCAACAATGCTTGCAATTCGCTGTCTTGAAACTTTTTCGGTGGTCTTCCACGTTCTTCGTTTCTCACGTTAAAATCGTTTGAATTTTTTAAACCACTCAAAGCACTGTGATTTACCAAGAGCATGCTCACCATAAGCTTCGACAAACATTCGATGCGATTCTGCAGCAGTTTTCTTCAAATGGTAACAGAAAATCAATGCTGTCCGCAAATCGTAGCTTCCAGGCACAAAATTCGACATGTTCAACGCTATTACAAACTATACTGTTGTATGAAACTTGTATTGTTGTGAGTTGAAAATCTTTGACAGATGTCAACAAATGGAAATGATTCCAATGACGCGGTTTGACGGTAACTACATTGACAGCTAGGGCCATTTATGGGCAAATTCCGGTTTCATATTTACAGACCTAGTACATAAAATCATATATAATTATATATAAATTTTATATTATTATGTGTAATCCATATATGCATTTGTATCTCTATATGGTCACAATCACATGAAATTATACAAAGTGGCCCATCTCTTAATCCATCTAGCCGAATATTTTGGAAACTAAGATCGGCAGACAAATATGTTTCAGACAAAAGTTGCCTGGTTTTAGAGAGGGACATAAGACGGTGGCAATGATTTGACCTTGAATAGTCGCTTGAAGGTGTCGTGAAGGTCACCTCCAATTTCTTAAATTGAAACCCCCCATTTTTTATTACATATTCTTGTAACTTACGTCGAGAGCTTTCCGAAACACTATAATAAAATATCATTTTATTAATAATTTTCTGAAATATTTTACATTTTTGTAATGATATTTTTAACGTAAGTCCTCTTGCCTTTCGTGATTCGGAAAGGCAATCTCGTGATCTCATGAATTGCGATTACACGCCGGGATATTCTAATTACATATCGCGTGCATCCGCAAAATCCGGATCTCGGCGTCGTTACTATCGCGTCGTAATATATCGTCCTGGCGACGTATCTCACGATTGTGTCGCGCTGCAAAAGAATTCGTTACCGCGAATCTCCCAAAGTGAATACGCGCACACGCGCTGCTCCGTAACGGAGTTTACAAGAGCGGGAAATTGCCGCAAAAGTATTATGTAAATTGGATTCTGAGCCGCTTGCATCACGCAGTAAGAAGATTTCACGATGGAACTAGCCGGATGAGTGAGCGGCGGATCGCGGACGAGCGAAAAAAGGATGGAGATACGCTGTCCGAATTACGGAATGTATATAACCGCAACGGGAAATGACTATCTGGATACCATCGACGATGAGTTGTTTATTAACGTGCTTTTTCGCAGCGCTCGTGCACAGCTCGTGTGCAGCGATTCGTGATGTTAAATGTCCAGAAAGACTGGGCATAATGGACTGCTTGTCTATACGTTCCGTTTAAATATTTCTTTTGAAGGAAAGGTGGATATGCATCGTCGAGGAAAACATACAGAAAAACGAGATGATTTTTTAAAAAGTTTTAATCAATTTAAAAAAAGTATTTTTTTATTGTTTTTACATAAAAAAAATATCAATTTGAATACAAATGAAAGAACCTCCGCAAAAAGGGTCAATTTTTTGCTCGTTTTTCGGTCCTCGATTTGGAATCGAATTTTATGCCAAAAGATAGTTTATGATGAAACATTAATTACAGAAAAGTTTTACGTTGAGCATACGATTGGTTTCAAAGATGTAGAAGGTCAAAGTGATCACTACCTACTAAGAAAGTATGACACTGATAACTCTTTATCACACGAATTTTTACAAAATTCAGTATCTATGTTACATGACGCATAAAGGATAACGTGATAGTTTTATTTGTTATATTTAGGAACTTATCTTGCCTTCATTGGGTGGATAATTTTTTCATCTTACCTTCACTGGCTGGATAACATTTTTATCTTAGCTTCATTAGCTGGATAACTTTTTCATTTTGTCTCCACTGGCTGGATAACATTTTTATCTTCCCTTCATTGGCTGGATAACTTTCATTTTGCCTACACTGAAAGTAAATGTAAATCTAATAGAAAATTCGCAATCAGCTAACCGAAAAAACCACAACATAACATTTCTAATAAAAATAAATAATTGTTTCACTATTTGTGTCCGCTATATTATTAGGTCAATCGGAAAGTTCCGTCCGTTTTTTGCAAAACGTATGGCAATATTTAAGAAACAAAATGAAAAAGTACATCAATCAAAGTATTGTCCATCATTAGCGATGACTTTTTCCCATCTTTCAGTCAGCAAGCGAATTCCGCGGCGAAAGAACGACTCATCTTTGGAAGTTATCCAGTCAGAGACCCATTTTTCGACGTTTTAAAATTGAAGCATTCCTCAACAAGTGCGTGTGCCATCGACCGAAACAAATAGTAGTCGGAAGGCGCACAGTCTGGTGAATAAGCCGCATGGGGTAACACTTCTCGG